TTGTGTTACTGTACTTTGACTACACAGAGCTTTGTAAAGCAATCGGGTCACGTCACACAAATCGCTAAACACAATTTACTAAACACAGGAACAACCTGGCGCAGCTGAAGGACGCCTACACCAAACTGTTTGAGGACTACACTGAGCTCAAAGACGAGAAACAGAGAAAAGAGGTAACTTTATGTTGTGTTGTGTGGATCGTACTGATTTTCACAAACGTGATGCAGTAAAAAAAAAAAATATTGATGGCATTTAAGAAAAAGAAAAAAATCAGAGATAACTGGCACCTTTACCATCCTGTTTGGTTCTGCAGTCTCATCTGGCGGAGGAGCTGCAGCAGCGGCTGACAGCAGCTGAAGAAGCTCTCGCTATTAAGCAGAAAAAGATCGATGAGATGAAGCAGGACATGTTCCAAAAGGAGAAGGAGCTGGAGACCATATCTGTTTTCCAGGCTCAGGTCAGTGGTTCTTTACGTGTGAGCACTTGAAATATATAATCTAGCATTATTACAACAATCAGAAGGCCTCAGCACAACAGGATTGCCTCCACTTTTAATGGTAGTCATGGTGTTTTTGTTTTTTATGTACTTTCTGCAGGCAGAGATCTACTCCTCCGACTTCCACGCAGAAAGAGCAGCGAGGGAGAAACTCCACGAAGAAAAGGAGCGTCTGGCTGCTCAGCTGGAGTACGTGAAGAAGCAGAACACCCAGCTGCAAGACGAGATGGACTCAATGGGCAGGTGTGCATTCAGAGAGAGGACTGACCTGGTCACGATTTGAGCTTCTTCAGACTAAATGTGTTAATTTCTATTCTTCTTGTGGAGAAAAACTCCTCGTGATTTATAAAAGGATTGAAATTTAAAAGTAGAGTCTGCAGCTCGACTAACTTACAAATTAACAAAGGTTTTGCTGTATAATTCTGCCAAACCCATTTCTATTTGCATGACATGACCACAGAAACAAACTGAGTATAATGTCGTGATTCGGCTCATCTGAAGCTTTTTCTTTGTGTGCAGGCGCTCACTGAACGAGATGCAGAGGAGACATTTGTCACAAGGTGGAAACCCACATGGAGGTGGACCATCTTTAGTTGGAAGAGGTACAGCATGTTATAATTTAACCTCTCACACAAACCTTATTCCTGGCTTTCTCTTATATAGCTTATACCGGACTCCCCTCTGACATTTTGATTATTTGGATGTTATTACTGGCTAGAAATACAATTACTCTAATTTACTATCTATCTCTTTTATACCAAAAAGATATAGATGGTCTTTTGAAACACATGCCACTATATTTGGATAGAAATATGAGGTGATTAGCCAGCTTGGTTTTTACGGTGATGTTGTGTGATGTTATTTGAATGGTGTTTTTGGCTAGTGAAAAAGCAGTTTAATATAAAATGTAGGCTACTTGCCAAAAATGAAGAAAAAAACCAAAACAAAAGTCAAATTCTTTGGGTGTCTTTCATTACAACTGTTCGCCAGACAAGGGAATCCCAGAGTAGCCAGACCCTAATACATTCCCTGCTTAATCTTCTTATAAGTTATATAATGAGCATTACATAATTAGGCGCAACTAAGACTTGAATCTACCAAACGAGACAATGAAGTCATTAAGAAAATATACAATCAGACCTGTTTTTTTTTTTTTTTAACCATAGCTGCCCTTTACTGGATGTTACAGGGAATACACCGACTTTTCATTAATTTTTATTTCCATTGTTTTTGCCTCAGCTCTTGTTTCTTTTTTTTGGGTACTTTTACTGCTGACAGGAACTGCACAAGATTTTTCTCCGCACAAGTAATGACTTTGCGATTAAGGAACGTTACCTGACCTTTTGCAAAATGATAGTTAGATGCAGCAAAAATCATTCAGTATAGCCAAGACATTTGACTGAATGACCTTTGTGGTGTAATCAGTCTGTCAGAAAATACAAGTGGAACTGGAACAGCCATCCAGCAGGCTAGAGTTGTGATCGGTGTCTCTCACTTTCAGGTACTGACTGGCAGCATCAGGGGAATATCCCTGAGCACGCGTGTCCCAAGTGTAATGAGATCCTTCCAGACCTGGACTCCCTGCAGATCCACATCATGGACTGCATCAACTAGACGTGCGTCACAGCATATAAGCATTCACGGCAACAGCGGCTGCATCATCACCTAATCGGAGTCTTCCTCTGCTTTGTCCTGTACCTCTTCACTCCAAGAGATCCCATATGGGATTAATAAAATTTATTCTCGGGTGGGAACACTTTGCTTTTGGAAGAAGCCAAACTGTGATGTTTGGAAAACATGTAAAAAGAGTATGTTGACTGTATTTTGTTGTACATTTAAAAGTTGCTCACAAACACTCAGAACAGTAAAGAAAACATTCTACAGAACACCACCTATCATGCGGCATGCTGTCCGTCACATTGTTGGATTTTTTGTTTTGTTTTTTTGTAGCTGTGTTGTCTGAAGCAAGCTGAAAATTTTCAGGGGCAAAACAAGTTCAGAGCAAACAAAACAGAAGCTGCATAGACCTTTTGGTAAGATTTTAGTTAAGCACTGACCACTGGTCATAAATATATTAATAAATCAACCAAAGTTGAGCCTTTAAAAGCTGCATCTGTTTACAAGTATTTGGTTGCTGAAGGCTTTCTATATTTTTGAAGGATTCTTTTTCAAATTAAAATGAAATTGCTTCTATATTTTTCCTCACTAAGGATATTTTAGTTCATAATTTGGTGTTTGGTGGTAAAAGCAGCATTCACCATGTAGGCACTTTATGAAAGATATATATTTTATTTTGACTTTGCATATTGTACCTGATAATCAGAATATAATGTATTTAACCTGATCAATTTGTCACTAAAGTGCAGGTAGAATCTGTACTCTGTAGACTGTAAAGACCTTCCTGATTCAAGTTCGGTGAAAGAAAATAAAAGCGTTTGCAAATGTGTTTGCTTTTACTCATGCCTGATGTCACTTATCATATATTATAAAAATGAAACAAACATTTTAGTTAAATACGATGAAATAAGCCAGAGCTAATGCTGTTATACAAGCACTTCGCATATTATATTACCTTCCTGTTTAAAGATACCCTTTAGGGCTTTTCACATCTTAATCACAGTCGACTGTAAGTATTAAAAATGTTTCAATATTGACATGACTTCATATGTTTTAAAGTCCCGTGAAATGACATTTTAGGCGACTGGGGTTTCCCTGAATAAATAATACAACAAACTCTACTTCAGTAGTAGCTTATGTTGTTTTTTTTGTTTTGTTTTTTTTTACTTCTAGCTCATATTAATATCTAATCAAAGAAATTGCTATCCGAGCAACCACCCATTAATCTCTTTTTCTTTTTTTAAATCAGGCAAGATTTTGGGCACCTACCAGCACTCCGACAACACAACGGGGTCCTTCGTTTAGCGCCAGTTTGGATTTTCTCCCTCGCCCGGACTGTGTGTGTGAATTACAACGAGGTTTAATGTGTCGTTTTTATTAAATATAACCGAATGACTTGTACATCGCCACGAAAGGCTTTACTTAGGACAGTAGGCATTATTTTCGAGAGGTTGAATGTGGTCGTAACATCCGGTAAGGTGGTTTTCGGGGTGCTTGAGTGAAGGAAGACGCAAAGTTGCAAAAAGGTAAACTGTCTCATTATCTTTGACTTGGTCATAAATGAATGGAAGCTGTTTGTTTGTGTATATATACATATGCAGAATTATAGTTTTATATTCACTTGGGAAAGCGGCTGTCCATATCTTCAAACATTTATGCTCTTAGTTGCTTTTTACCGGGTTAAGTGTAACCACTTAGTCGTTTCATTTTACATTGTAAGTCAAGCTTAACTTATCTCCACTTTAGGCTGAACCTAGATTTTAATACTTTGGACATCTTTTCGTTTTCACATAGAATGAGTGTTAAAGCTGTTAGCGTCTTTAAAACAACTGGGTGAGCTACAGACAGGATTTTAATTGTGCTCAGTAGCTCACAGTGTTGCACTGTTCTATACTGTGCAGTAAAGTGTAATACACAATTAATTGATTTAATGTATGTAGAGGGTTAGTTACTGTTAAGTTACTGCTGCTAAAAGTGATTCTACAAGCTATTAAATTGTGCTTTGTGCTTAGTTTTTGCACAGCACTGCATAGAGTCCTGTGAAAACTGTTTTTCATATCACTGTAGTTTCAATTATTACTTGCATCGTGAAGAGATTGCTCCAACCTCTGCCGGAAAATCTGGAATTCTTTTTTTATGCTAATGTGTCCCCAGCAAGGAGGTAACAGGGTGATAATATCTCATCAGTGCAGGAAATTGTGTTGGATGTAAAATTATTTTGCCAAGAGCTGGACAAGCTGTGCATCTACACTAGCAGTCAAAGGTTTGGACACACCGTCTTATTTAAGGTTTTTTCTTTATTTTCGTGACTATATACATTGTAGATTCTTGCTGAAGGCATCAAAACTATGAATGAACACATGGAATTATGTAGTAAACAAAAATGTGTGAAATAATTGTGACAGACTGGCGACCTGTCCAGGTTGTATACCGCCTCTTGCCCTATGACAGCTGGAATAGGCCCCAGCGCCCCCTGCGACCTTGAAAAGGATAAGTGGAAGCGAATGGATGGATGGTGTGAAATAACTCAAAACATGTTTTATATTTTAGATTCTTCAAAATACCTGCCCTTTGTTTTGATTACTGATTTGCACACTCTTGGCATTCTCTTGATTAGCTTCATTTTTGAAATGGTTTTCCATTTCAGGTGATTACCTGAAATGGAAAACTCTTGAAGGACTTCCCAGAGATGCTTAGCACTTGTTGGCCGTTTTGCCTTCACTCTGTGGTCCATCTCATCCCAAACCACATTGACTGGGTTTAGGTCAGGTGACTGTGGAGGCCAGGCCATCTGGTACAGAACTCCATCACTCTCCTTCTTGGTCAAATAGCCCTTATACAGCCTGGAGGTGTGTTTGGGGTCATTGTGCTGTTGAAAAATAAATGATGGTCCAACTAAACCCAAGCCAGATGGGATGGCATGTTGCTGCAGGATGCTGTGGTAGCTATGCTTGTTCAGTGTGCCTTCAGTTTTGAATAAATCCCCAGCAATGTCACCAGCAAACTATTCCCACACCATCACACCTCCTCCTTCATGCTTCATGGTGGGAACCATGCATGTAGAGACCATTTACATTTTCTGTGTCACACAAAGACATGGCAGGTGGAACCAAAGTTCTCAAATTTGAACTCCTCAGACCAAAGCACAGATTTCCACCGGTCTAAACAAATCTCTTCTGCTTGTTGCTTTTCCTTAGTTGTGGTTTCTTAGCAGCTATTTATATTTGATGTCTTCAGTTTATATCTACAATGTAGAAAGTAGTAAAAATAAAGAAAAACCATTAAATGAGAAGCTGTTTTCAAAGTTTTGAGAGAGATAATATATTGGGATAAGCTCACAAAGCCTCTTGTTAAGTCTAAATTCTATATTACTGTATACATAACACAAGCATTATGAAAGATGCAGCATTCGGTTAACTTTAGAAGTTTGTAACCTTGAGAAAGAGGGTCGAAGACAGCATCTAACTTGGAGCATGACACGGCTTGTTTAACTTTGTCTTGTAAAGTCTGTAATCTCCCAGGTGGTCAGCTGGAGACCTTGGATACATGAGAAACACGGCTGCTGGAGTGTGTTATCACACTTTCCTGTGTGCTGCTGTGTGGTCTGAACAGTTTCACAATTCAGTCAAACATGTAAAGAATGTGTTTTCTTGAATGTTTTTTTTCTTTGTGGAAATTACAGCCCACATCTGGGTTTTTATTGTTTTTGTTTTCTGCGGTTCTTTCTTGAGGTTCTGCCAAAGTAATTCCACATATTTGCCTTTCTGTAGGTGACCAGGTGATTTGACATCAACGACACAGTGTAATTCCTTAAAATGGAGAGTAAGTGTCTGATTTAAAGCTCACGAGAATACTGCTTTATCAGTGGGTTAAGACACAAATGAGTGCATGTGCATTTCACTCAGGTGAGGATGATCTGGATATTCTGACTGCGCTGCTGGCTGAGAGCGAGGGTATTGGCGAAGAACAAGAAAGCCAGGAGCAGGCGGACGATCTGGACGGGCTGTTTGATGAGGAAAATGACGAGGAGTACAAAGAGGGCGTCGAGGAGGAAGAGCACAATGTGGACGAGATGTTGGAGCTCTTTGGAGATGTGGATGACATCAAACAAGAGGAGAAGGACAAAGAGGACAAAGAGGACAAAGAGGAGAAGGACAAAGAATCAGAGGTTGACCGTGAGAACCTGAACAAGTCGAAAGAGGATTTACAAGGTTTGTTGATGAGTTTAGTGGAGCTACACGCTGAGGCTGTGTTGTCAGCTTAATTTTGTTATGCATTTTTTCTTCTTCAGAGGAGTTGAGGCAGATGAAGGAGCAGATGGAGAGGTTGCAGCAGCAGCTGGAGGCCAGCCAGAAAGTCTCAGTCCCGTCAGCCTCTTCAGCCAAGACTTCAGGAAAAAACTCACCAAGTGTCACACCAGTGAGACCCAAACCTGCACCTACCCAGCAACCGGCCTCCAAACTGAGCCAGGCCAGACCAGCCACTAACACACAGAAGACACCAGCAGGTAAAGAAAACAGTGATGCCAACTCCCTCTGTACTGCTCAAGGAGGTGTGATGGCACATTGTACTGTGTCTAACCTTCTCTCTGTGCGACTGCAGTAAAGCAGTTTTTCTTGTGTATAGTTTTGTTATAGCTATAACCCACCTCATGTTTCATGAATGCTTTCTTCTTCTTTTTTTTTTTTCCATCCTTCCAGCAGCGTCTTCATCCACTCCAGCAAGAACAGGAAGCCTCAAGCTCCAGGAGTCCTCTGAGTTTTCTTCTCAGCTCAGCTTTGCTGACTCATTTAAAAGCAAACCGAGAGTGGCTCACCAACCTAAACCGGGTAAAACTCCAGTTTTTCCTTAAACAAAGTGATTGTGTCGTCACACACATTAGAGTGATGCACGTATGTTCTGTGTCTGAGTTTTTCTTGGCTGTGCTCCCCTCAGAAAGCAGAGGACCACTGGTAGAGATAAAGATCGGCAGCTCCTTCAAGCCCATAGAGAGCACCAGCACAGCCCCTGATGCTCTGCGCTCACCTTCAGCGTCCCATAGCAGACCTGCAGCAGCTGCGTCAGCAGTGCAGCCTAAAGCTCCTTCTTATCCATCTCTTCCCAAAGACGTGGCTCTTGAGAAATATTCAGGACTGCGGCTCAGGTCAGAGCACTGAAGTGATGACAAGTTGTCAGTTGAATTAGGTTTTCTTGTTTTGTTTTTTCCCATTCCTGTGTTTTTAAGTCTTTGGCTCGGTTCTGTTTGTCTCCTCAGAAAACCACGTGTTTCTTCTAGCGAGATGGACCGTAAGATGGCTGACCGCCGTCTGATTCGACTGTCACAGTTACCGGAGCGTATGGCTCGGGAGAAGCTGGAAGACAGCGACTGGGTGACGTTTGCTGTGCTGGTCAATAAAGCCACGCCTCAAAGCAACAGCAGTGTAAGTCAGACCTTGTGGACTTTGTTTGTGCAGCATCAGTGACAGTTTCATAGAAAAATATACAAAAGAAATGAATAAAAACTCTTTGTAAAAGAGTAGTTAAGGATGAGTTTTTCTGGTTTTAATCCAGCCTTTAGGGATGACTTTGAACAGAAGTAGGATTGTTCTGCATATACAGGAGGCAAAGAATTTTTGGTGTTTAATATATTTAAGTTGGAGTTAATTAAACCAAACTATTTCAGTATTGCTTGCATGATGCTCGGATTTGTTTTATTTATTTATTTTTCCCTGTGGAAGTCAAAAACCTTCGTGGTAGCACTAAGAAGATATTTCTATGCGGATGATAAATACATTTATCCTGTAATATTCCTGATTGAGCACTTTCTTCTCTGCAGGGCAAAACCTTTAGCATCTGGAAACTCAATGACCTCCATAACCTGGAAGTGTTTGTGTCTCTGTTTCTGTTTGGTGAAGTTCACAAAGAGCACTGGAAGACTGAGACGGGCACAGTAGTCGGACTCCTCAACCCAAACCCCATGAAGCAGAAAGAAGGATATGACGGGGTGAGCAGAAAGTCTGAAATGAATCTAATGTGGAGTCTGAGGAAAAATTATTTTCTCATTCTCAGTGATTTTGTACTTTAAAATCAGCTCCCAGTAGGAAAGACAGTCTGATATGTTGAATATTGGACACACTTGAGGCCTCCACTTAAATGTTTCTTGAGGGTCTGAGGCTCAAACCTTTTTCTTGCCTTTATGCCTTTAAATTAACATTTACACCTAATGATAAACAGATCCTTAGTCCATCTATTAATGGCACTGTGATATAAAGGTTTGACAATGTTACATTTTACTGCAAAATGTAACTCATATGTCTAAACTTTATCTCATTGGATAAAACGGATACGGGCAAAGTCTAACTTTGAGGATACAATTTGCAATTGAAAAAAGGTGACAAAAGGCAATAATGCACAATAGTCTGCACATTGCATTATTAAAGTATTGTGATTGAAATTATGGTATCGTATCATGGGCTGTCTGGTGAGTCCCACCTCCAGTAGCTAACACCCATCATGTACGTCTGTAGTGTCTGTAGTTTTTTGTACTGTAAGCTGATTTCCTTCCCAGAATATAAAACCTTGTGTGGAATGTGTGCAGGTGAGCCTGACGGTGGATCACCCACAGAAGGTGCTGCTGATGGGTGAAGCTCAGGACTACGGTATCTGCAAGGGTGTGAAGAGGAACGGAGAGCCATGCTCGCAGATAGTTAACATGGTTAGTCTGTTCTATCGTGTTTTCTGTACCTAAATGATTATCCTGTTGCCTTAAACTTCCATCTCCTCCACAGTATGAGTGCCCATACTGCCAGTATCATGTCAAGGCCCAGTATAAGAAGATGAGCTCAAAAAGGGCCGAGCTGCAGTCGTCGTTTTCCGGAAGAGCGCCCAGTAAAGTCATGGGGAAGGGGAAGGCAGGTGGCCTGAGAGAGCGGATTTGTCAGGACGGTTTCTACTACGGCGGCGTGTCCTCTGCTGCCTGTGCCGCCTCACTGTGAGTGTGTTTTTTCCTATTGCTAAAGTTCAGGTCAGTCAGACTGTAAGAGGAAGCTCTTTCTACTTTCCCTTTACATCTACAATATAGCAAATGAAGAACAATGCAGTAAAATCAATAAAAACTTGACTCAGCTGTTTCTGTTAGTATCCTCTGCAGCAGTTAGTCATGCAGGCTGTGGTCATAACCCTGTCCAACGCAGATTCTGGCTTTAACTGGATTTTCAAATCAATAGTGTGTGCTGAAGTCAGTTTGCGCAAGTTAACTGCCACCCTTACAAAACCAGGAACACAGTGTGGGACTGAAAGCATCCAAACTGCTGCATTTTCAGTAACAAGCCTGTGTGTTGCAGGACCGCGTCCAAACCAAACAAACCCACCCAGAAAACTCTGGACAAGCTGTTTGTGAGAGGCTCGGCTCAGCTCGTCAGTCAAGCCAAGAGGCTCGGTAAGGACTGCTAGATTCTCTCACACTCACAGATTTGAATCATTCCTCATGGAAGTTGATGTTTACAAGCCTGATGTCGTAGGTGACAGATATATAGAATTGCGTAGGAGTATTTTTTGCTTCAAACCCTTTTTTCCTTACCCCGACTTTCAGATCTAAAAATTGTTTTCTCCTTTGATTAAAATACTGATGTAGTTTTCAATCCTGTCGGTAATTTTAGGAGAGATTGATGAACAAAGGCAGAAGGGAGTTCCCTATTTCAACTGTTTTTGCTTGTGTGTGTTTGTAGCCATGCAGTCTGGTGAAGTTGCAGGTTGCTCAGATGAATTTAAGAGCCTGATGTCAGTGCCAACACCTGGAGCTTTGCAGCTGAAGAAGCATCTCACGCAGGGCAGCCAGTCAGGTACACAACCTGCAAATCTTTTGCACTTTTTGGCAAGCTAGGTTATATTAAAGATGCGTTTGATTACAGTGTTGTGAACTCAGTCATCTGTCTCACACACACACACACACACACACACCAACAAAAAAAATCTTATTTGGCATCCTCAGTTTCCAAAGAAACATCGGGAGCTCCTCTTCAGTCCATCTCAGCCTCAGACCTGCTGAAGCAGCAGAAACGGAAGCAGCGGGAGCTCCTGGAGAGCCGGCGGAAAAGGGTGGAAGAAGTTCAGAGAAGGTCGCTGCAGAACTCGGGCGGTGCGACAGGCCAAGATTGTTTAATGTCACCAAAAGCTGCTTCTGAAGTCCCCACGGCCTCCCAAAGCCCGGCGGCGCCCCACACTCCGACCCTGGGCCGAGGCTTCTCCAAGGGAGATGATATCCTCTTCTTTGATACCAGCCCCCCTCCAACTCCTTCTCCCAGCACCCTCAACCTATCAGCTGCCAAGCTGGCTGCTCTGAAGAAGCTAAGGGCTAAAGACACGGGGCTGGTGAAGGAAGACCCCAACGCTGTGAAGAGGAAGAGGAGTGACAGCAGTGAGATCAATGCCCGAGTAGAGCGGAATCGCACCTCACCCAGTGGTACGCATTTCAGTTTTTTCCAATGTAATTCATACATCTAGATAGCTATCCTCTTTTTTTTAACTTTCTTGTAAAGTTTTAAATTAAAGATAACAATTATTTGTTATTTTAGCAGTACGGTACCTCACAGGATGGCAGGATATTGTTGCCTCTGTACCTTGACTGCATAATGTTATCTTTTTGTTGTTTTTGTTGTTTGTTGTGCTGCCACAGATTCTTGGGAACACAGGTCTTTATCTTTTTATGCTGACGTAAACTTACCGTTGCCTGTTTTATGGTTCTTTTCTTTGTCTGAAGCCTCAGCTAATGAGGAGGAGGAGCCGGTGCAGAAAAAGAAGCGAGAACAACTCGACTATGTCCAGTCAGAGGAGTTTCAGAAGATCCTGAAAGCCAAATCTCGCCACGGGATTATACTTCAAGCGGTATGACCAGTGACAAAAACAAATTTAGTGCAAATTTATAAGTTTGCTGACTTACAAAGAATTGAACTTCCTCTAATTTTTATGGTAGTTTCATTTTAATGGGAAGAATCAGAACCAAAATGCCAGAAAAAACATGTTAGTTATAGTTATAAGGTCATGGAGTGGCCTCAGCCAGTCTCCAGACTGCAGTCCTGTAGAAAACCTTTGGAGGGAGCTGAAGCTTTGAGTTTCTGTAAAGAGGAGTGGGCTAAAATCCCTCCTGAGATGTGTGCAAACCTGGTGACCAAGTACGACAAATGTCTTACTGACATGAGTCATGTTTTGCTTGGGGATTAAATTCATATTTCTCTTAATGACTAAGGTATAAATATGTATGTGATATGGTTGGTTGATAGTGTCTCTCTTCATTAAAATTAAACAAATATAATTCGATTCACTTTTGTTTATACAGTGCCAAATCACAGCAACAATCACCTCAAGACACTTTATATTGTAAGGTAGACCCTACAGTAATACATATAGAGGACCCC